GGAGATGTTTAAAGGAACTCGCACAGCAGAAACTTTGAGGGCTTTATACTCATTAAGAAAAGAAATGATTGAGACTAGATCTCCACTATTTGAGACGTTGATCCACGGGGATTTATGGACAGGCAACGTCATGTTCTCTGCCGACAATACGAGCGCCGTCATAATTGACTGGCAGTTTGCTTCAGTTGATAACCCAGTGTGTGACATTATTTCTTTGTTGCTGATGAGCAGCCATCCTGTCGTGTATGAACAACACCTGAATGACGTTCTACAGAGCTACTGGCAGAGTCTGACTGAAGCTTTGGAAAAGAATGGGGCTTCAGTTGATTGCACTTTCCAAGATCTTGTGGACTGTGTTGAGAAAATGTGGATGTATGGTTTCATGTTTTTTACGGCAAGTTTGCCGGATTTACTAGATAACAATATAACTGCTTTCCACAGAGGCCAAAATGCTGTAAAGTTTTTAGAGCAGAAGAAGGTATTGTCAAAGTTTCTCCAGGTCCATGGAAAAGAAATGGCATAGTTTTGGAGATTTATTCAGGAAAAAGTATGTGTTCATGCATATTTTAGGCAAACCAACATGTAGATGCTTGTATGCTTGTCTTTTAACCTACCAGTATAAATATCTAGTGAAAAGGAAATCAGTCGAATAGAAAAATAGGGTAAGTAAGGATTCAGGTATAGTATTCAAACTCAGTTCCGAAAGGAAAGTCATCAAATGGCACGAAGTTGTTCGTCACTGGCATTGTCAGGAAAAGGAATCTAGGTCTCATGCATCTGTCATTACCTTTCATAGAAGGAATTTTCCTAAACTTGAGTTCCTTTTCCGAGCATGTCACTGTCTCAGTATTATGAAGCATTTCCATAAGTAGTCAACCAAGTCATAGCATTTCCTTTATTTCAGATTTATGAATTAATGCATTTAATCATGCCTTTGCACATGTCAGTCTTAGCATTCATAAATAAACGAGAAGTCAAAATATATTGTTTTATATATTATATAGTCTTTTACTGATACCTATTAATAAATATTGTTTCTTTTATCCAATATAGCTATATGATTGCTACGTACTGTAAGATTTTCTGTTTTATTTGGAACCAGTTTGAAATCCCCAAAACAAAGGGAGGATTAAGTAAGAAGAATAAAAGAAAAAGAAAATTTAAGGAATGGATAAAGTGAAATATAATGGACATCGGAAAACGAGACGAAAAAACAGAAAAGCATATTAAAAAGACAAAAGTGGAAATTAAAAAGAATGAAATGGTGATGAGTGAATGAAATACAGAAGACACTGAATGTAGTAACGTAAATTATTAAATTGTAGCTAAAATAATGGACAAATCCGTTTGGAAAGGGCATCACGAAGATAAAATTAGTGCATAACAAAATAAAAATGAGAGGAAAAGAAATGTAATTCACGAAAAACTCAAGCTTACTGCTCAGTAGACATAATTTTGTATGTTTAGAGAAAATATCAGCAACTACTGATAATTTGTGTTTTCAGCGTCCTTTGTACAATACTGGCTTGTATCATAAAGATAAGAAAGGAGTTTCGAAATGTGTCTGAAGCGATTATGATTTGTATTAGGAATTCTTTGAGTTTGAGCTTTGTAGTATGAATTTTATATATCACATACACTCGGTCTCTCCTTATCTCTCTCTTTTTTCCTCCTTCCCTCCCTCTTTCCTCTCTCCCTTCTCTCTCTCTCACTCTCTCTCTCTCTCTCTCTCTCTCTCTCTCTCTTTAAAAGTGATCGATAGAAACTTAAATACACACAGATTTGACTTTTTTAAACTTTACTTGTAGTATGATTGGTTAATATTTATTTATAGTGCGGTAAGGGACTGCTTTGCTTTTGGAGGTGCAGAAGTTAATGAGTTATGTACTGGGAGTGTATTCATATGACTACCCTGTAGACATATAGAATTACAGATTATGTATCAGTAACATGCAGTAGTATATTTCATAGCTGATTTACAATAAAATAAGTAGTACTTACGAAAACACATATAATGAAAATTGCTGTGACCTACTGAACGATTTCATCGAAAAATCTGAAAGGAGTATTGAATCAACATGGTTTTTAGTTCCATAAGTAAATAGATTACAGTAACAGATTTCCGGGACTTTTTTATGGGGTAAGAGAAACGTTGCTCGGTTTTGCGTGCTTTGTTACCATATATGTGTATTGCGGAAAAACAAGGCCCCATAGAAGTATCCCAAGACAATTATATATGCTGTTAGTCGTTTCAGTTATTAAATAAAGGGTCCTGTACTACTGTGTTTTTTTACATTTATTTCTTTGTCTTACAGACATAACACAGCAATTGGCCGACGATGAGTGAAACTTCAACACTTACAGTCCTTCGTTCAGAGAAGGATATTGACAAGGCTTGGCTTGAGGAACTATTGAAACAAAGGCTAAAATCCAACATCGAAGTCATTTCATGGACATCGAGTACTCCAGCCACAAAGAGTGGATTCTTGAGTGAAATGTGTTTCGTTCATGTGACTTTCAAGAGTCCAGATCACCCAGTGGAAAAGAGGTCTTTAGCTGTGAAATTTGCTCCAAGTGACAAGAACATATTAGAATTCATGAAGAATGGGAACCTTGCAAGGAAGGAAATCGACTTTTACAAATTTGTCTTAACAGATGACTTTCAACTTTTCTGCAAGAAGAGCGGCCTGAAGAATCCAGTCCCAGATGTGTACTGGGCAAACATGGAGGAAGACCTCGTCACCCTTGTCATGCATGACCTGAGGACAGATGGGTTCAGAGTGGATACCCCGCCAGAGGGGAACTCTCTAGAACAGATTAAACTGACGGTGAAATCTATTGCAGTTATTCATGCTTGTGGAGTTGCTACCATAAAGAAGCATGGAAGGGAGTACCTGGATGTTCCCTCTGGAGATTTTCTAGACGACTATGTTAAGGTAGGTCTTGAGAGAGAAATAGAAATGTTTAACGGAACACGAACTGCTGAAAGTTTAAGAGCACTTAACTCCATGAGGGACCTAGTGATCAAGACAAGATATCCATTATTTGAGACGTTGATCCACGGGGATTTATGGACAGGCAACGTCATGTTCTCTGGCGACGATACAAGTGCCATCATTATTGACTGGCAGTTTGCCTCCGTTGACAACCCTGTGTGTGACATTCTTTCCTTGTTGCTGATGAGCGCTGAACCTGTGGTGTATGAGCAATACCTGAATGACGTTCTCGAGGCTTACTGGGAAAGTCTGACTGAAGCCTTGAGAAAGAATAAAGTTTCATTGAACAATACATTTCAAGAGTTTGTGGATTGCGTTGAGCAGATGTGGATATATGGTTTTATGTTCATTACAGCTAGCCTGAACGATTTACTGGAAAATAATATGATAACAGTGCAAAGAACGAAACATGTTATAAAATTTTTGGAAGAGAAAAATATATTTTCAAAGTTCCTGCAACTTCATGGAAAAGAAATAGCATAATTAAGTTTCCAGGTGCATTACAGGATATTTGAAATATATGTGTTGTAGCTTTTTGACTATTCTACTTTTGGATTTAAAACTGCATAGAAGGCAGTATACTTTTTCGAACTTCACGTGTAATGCTATGAATCTAATGGCCTCTTAGAACAACTTGTGGCCTCCATTAGCACCAATCTTCCATTATGTAATAATTAGTAGTACTCTGTTATTTTATAAAATTCATGTTAATAAACAAAGGTTTCTATCTACTCAGGGTTGGCAGATTTGTAATACCCTTTTCTTGTATTTCACACGTGCGAGCACATATATACTTACATTTGCTTGTTTGTGTGTGTGTATGGCAATAGGTTTATTTCCAAGACGTGCATTTTCATATATAATGAAGTTATGGGATGCATTGATTAGTTTATACGATTTTCTATAAACGAATTAAATACATGGTGTTTTGTCCCATCCCCATAATATATGGGACTCCAGAGTGCTCACTGTTATTGTATTATTGAAATGACTTGTCACGGAAGAAATCAGATGCTAGTTAATAATGCTATAAGGGCACCCAGATGTTTACAATAAATAAAAGGAAATACAGGCCAGGGAGTCTAAATATACTTACTGTCCATGCCTTACTGACGAAATGTAACGAAGCTTAGTAATGTAGTTCAACCATTCTTCGTATTTTCACATTTTTTCAACCGGAAAGTTTAGTGTGCTCTTCTTAAATCCAGTATATGATAAGAATAAAAACAGGAAAGTCATTTAAACATAAAGCTATCTAAGTCTTTTAAACATAAAGCTATCTAAGTCTTTTAAAATTAAACATAAAGCTATCTAAGTCTTTTAAACATAAAGCTATCTAAGTCTTTTAAACATAAGGCTATCCAAGTATTTTAAACATAAAGCTATCTATGAGGAATGCTAAATAGATGAAAAGATGGGTTAAAGAGAGAGAAAAAAAAAGAATATCTGGAACGTTCATGAGAAACATTGCTAACATATAAGATGGAATAATAAAGTAACGCATCGATATACATGCAAAACTACCCTCCCTGGCAAGAACTCGGACCTCAAATAACCAGAGTGAATACTATTAATAGCCAAAGAGGATGTTAATAGTCAAACTGATCAGTACTGATACCTAAAGTCAGTATTATTAATATCCAAAGAGAATATTGTTAATAGTCACACTGGCATTATTGATAATCAGAGTGAATATTAGTAATCGCCAAAGTAAGGACTATTGATGGTAAAGTGAGTATTACAGCCACGTTTAGTACTGTTAATAGTTAATGTAAGTATTGTTAATATCCAAGTTGAGTTATTAATCGCCCAAGTGAATATCATTCACAGCCAAAGTGAGGTTTATTAATTGCCAAATTGAATATTACAACCACGTTTAGTACTGTTAATATCCAATATGAGTATCTTTAATATGCAAATAGAGTATTATTAATAGCCAAAGTGAGTATCCTGAACAGTTAAAATAAGCATTATTAATAGCTAAATTTCAGTATTATGAAAACT